AGCCACAGAGAACAGACGTCCAACTTCGTTCAGAAACTTGTGTAAAGTTAAGTGGAAACGTCGCCGTTACGTAGGCTAGCATCGATGTGCGGTATAAGAGGTGAGGAGCAAGGAAACTAGTGGACTCTTTCATTCTGACGGTGTTCTTATGCAACAGCAGACGTGACGTCACGTCTGTTGCTGCATAAGAAGACGCGAGAACGAAAGAGTCCACTAGTTTCCTTTCTCCTCACCTCTTTTATCGCACATCGGGCTAGCATCTCCTGATTTCCTCTATATATGTTGCACTTTCGCCCAATTTGGCGCAAGTATCGATAAATTATCTGTTGAAAATTGCCACTTGGCGCTACCAGCACTTAGTGTCTAGTGTAAGTTGTGCAACGCCAGCGTTGTCAAAGAGGGTTTTTCGAGGGGTTTTTAATGTCGTTTTCGTTTTTACGGTGTAGCTACACCGGTGCTGCACTGCCGTACACCGAAATATTTTAGGGTATAGATATAGGATGCACCTTTGTTTACAAACAAGATGTTGAGCTTTCAAAGACTCGCGCTTAATCCTGCTTACACTACACCAGTGCTACACCGCAAAACGACATAAGTGGGGAAGGCGCCGTTAGTGGCGGTTAAGTGGAATAGGAATCTTTACACAAGTTTTTACAGAAGTTTAATTCGAGCCTCAACGTCTGTTCTCTGTGCTATAGCTAAGCGAAATAATTTTCTAGAGCTTGTTCAAGGCAGAGTTTTAACAAAAGAGAAAATCAACGAAGAGAATCGATCATTGCGTTTACGCCCTTATGCATGCTCACTGTCGATATAATCTACACGGTAAGAAAAAAGAAGCTTTCGCATCCCACTTCTTCCGTTTTTGCGTCGGCTCTTTCTACCAGCCCATACTTCTTCAGGAGCCATCTTGTGTCCTTTTGTAAACGACCGGTTTATCAAATAGATAACAGTTGACGCAGCTTCGGTCCAGAACTTCTTAAGAAGATTTGCGTCAAACAACATGCATCTGGCTCGCACAACGACAGCACAGAGAACAGACGTCCAACTTCCACCATAAACTTGTGTCAAGGTAAGAGGGAGCATTCGCCGTTACATTGTGCAACGCCAGCGCCATCATGTTGTCAAAGAGGGTTTTTAAGTAGGGAAGTCGGCGTTGGTGGCGCTTAAGTCGAATAGGAATCTTTACACAAGTTTTTACAGAAATTTAGTTCGAGCCGCAACGTCTGTTCTCTGTGGTCTTGGGCAAGAATTTAATACACCGTTCACATTACAGCGTATATCACGTGATATACGCTGTCTTGCACTGAGCACTCATACATCTAATTTTTACTGGAAATCCTATGTATGAGTGCTCATTGCAAGACAGCCTATATTACGTGATATAGGTTGTTATGTGAACGGGGTATAAACATCGACAAACCGACATGAATGATCATACAAAGTATCATCAAATTTCTGTTCAAAGCACAAAACTGACATCTGCCGCCGTGTTCGCGAAAAATGTGTATCCAAGCCACGAACACACATACTAAATGTATGAGTTGGTTCGTGTCTAATCTATTCCGGGCAAATTATTTTTATCTAGAAAACAAATTTCTATGGTTTTGACAGATGGGATCGCTGCACATTTGAATCCGCCGTTATTGATTCTCGATCAAGAGTTAAGTTTTAGTTTCATGTCGGTTTGTCGGTGGTATAAATGTGACTTCTATGAGCTGTCACGTCAGTTCGTCGGTGCCTCAACGTCTGTTCTCTATGACGACAGTGCAATCAACAATCAATACGAAACTAACGAGTTTAAATTGGCTCACCACTTTAGTAGCCTATTGGTCCCAAGCAAACGATTAACGTACCCTATTCTAGTTGAAATTCTATTACTATACTATGTTTGTTTTGATTCGCTATGAAAGTTTGACAGATAACATCAGGGGTCTGTGGATTCATGCAGAACATGCAGGGGTGAGTGAAATAGCTTGGGACTGCTTGGGACCGTTGTTCTGGTACTGAGTGAGCCAAAAATAATAATGATTTTCTTCGGGACCCAGTGGTCTTAGAGTTACCTCTATGGTGCAATTAACTCGTTCTGACAGGCTTATTGAGGGAATTTCAATTCTGAGGATAGTTTTGTGGGAATTTTAGGGAATTTTATAAGGATATTTTCAATGGAATGCTAAAGAATATATCAAAAAATCATATCAATGGGATTTTGAGGAGAATTCCACATAAATTTGGGAAAAGGAAAATGTTCGAATAGCAACTATTATGAGCATAATTCCGAGGTAATTCTGAGGCTAATCTCATATGGAGAATTGTAAACAAACAAATTTAATTAACCACTTCATTCGAACAGTTAAAATGACGTTTACTACCACTCGAACTTTGAAATAAAACATTATTTTGAGAACCACGAGAAAAGTAGTCATCATTTGTGCGTTTCACGCAATTGTGAGCAAAGTAGAATATACAAAATGACAAGAATCCTGAGTAAAATTTGATAAAAATTCAATGAGCAGCTGGATTGTTCCATATTTTGTTTAATTACTTTAGTTATGAGATTTTTAGCCGTAGCCTAGTTCATCTCTTTTAGAGAATTATTATTATTAGGATTATTCCAAGCACTCCTGGTAGCAACCCACGTAAATTTAGAGGTGAATTGTAAGAGATTTTCTTAAGTATGGTGAAGACAATTCCTTTGAGATTTTCACTAGGACTTCACAGAATTGCTGGATGCATTCCAAGTACATTTTGGAAGAATACTTAGGAAATTCTGAGAAGAATTACTTGGAAATTTTAAGGATAATTCAAACTGAGCATTGCATTAGTACCCCTGCATTAAATATGTCACGCTAAATCGAGGAAAAATTTACCCCCTCCCCCTATCGTCACGTTTTTCCTATACCTAATGCATTGCTTGTCACAAAATCTTAGACCAACCCCCTTCCTCCCTTAGAGCGTGACATAATAGATGCATCACCCCTTAGATCCTACACGGCGAATGAGAACGACCCAAATTTGAGTTTAGTTCACTCATAATCGCCAAAAGTGCAGGAACTCAGCGATGAGTTAATTTGCCTCATGTTTTCCCAGGCTTTTCCAGGATTTTCCAGGGAAAAAATCCTGAATTTGAGAAAAGTAAAGATTGCATTCACTCAGTCTATTGGTACTACTAGGAGACTGAATAAAATTTTCGTCAATTTCCTCATTTTCCGGCAGATTTTTTAGGTTTTCCACAGGAAACCATGAGACAAATTTTACTCATCGCTGAGTTCCTGCACTTTTGGCGATTATGAGTGAACTAAACTCAAATTTGAGTCGTTCTCATTCGCCGTGTAAGTAACATTGATTGATTCTTTTCGTCAACTTTCTCTTTCGTTAATAACTTGAGCAGCAAACCGTTTCTTGTTGCACGGCGAATGAGAACGACTCAAATTTGAGTTTAGTTCACTCATAATCGCCAAAAGTGCAGGAACTCAACGATGAGTAAAATTTGTCTCATGGTTTCCTGTGGAAAACCTAAAAAATCTGCCGGAAAATGAGGAAATTGACGAAAATTTTATTCAGTCTCCTAGTAGTACCAATAGACTGAGTGAATGCAATCTTTACTTTTCTCAAATTCAGGATTTTTTCCCTGGAAAATCCTGGAAAAACCTGGGAAAACATGAGGCAAATTAACTCATCGCTGAGTTCCTGCACTTTTGGCGATTATGAGTGAACTAAACTCAAATTTGGGTCGTTCTCATTCGCCGTGTAAACAAACATGTTAGAGGCCAAACTTCGATTTTTTTTTCGATGTTGCTAACTTAACTTCTTGTTTAAAACATTGGAATGAAGTTTGAAATTTTCTAAAGTGCCAGAACCAGGCATGGAAAAGCATTTACATTAATTTACATTCATTTGCCTCTAACTTTTTTTCATCAACGGAATTCAGTAACTTGATGTATGAAGCTTTTGTAGATTTTGATATTAACTACAACTTTTGGCAACAACTCAAATCTGTATCTCTTATGCATGGCGAACTAGAGCGGGCAGAATTCGTTATTGTTTTTCAGTGAATGTAATTTACATTCACTGAAAAACAGTGGTAGGTTCTGGTAACTATGGTTCATCACGCATAAGAGTTACAATGTCATATTTGAGTTATTCACAAGAGTTGTTGCTAATATCAAAACCTACAAAAGTTTCATAAATAATTTTACGGAATTCTGTAGATGAAAAAAGTTAAAGGCAAATTAATGCACGAAATGAATGCAAATGATTTTCAATGACTAGCCAGAACCCTTGTGATCTGGTATTTTCTCTCTCTACGACATCAACCATTTTCAAACATAGCGTTTTTTGATACCCAGGATTTCTTAACAAACAATTTGAACTAATTAAGAGCTCCCTTAGCTCAGCCGATAAAGGCGCAGCTATAAACCAAGACCATGCTGGAGGCGGCAAGATTCGCCACACAATAATACTAATGCAAGAATGGCTTAGAAAAAGCTCTCAATTAACAACTGTGGAAGTGGTCAAAGAACACTAAGTTAAGGGCCGGTGTTAAGTGCCAGTAGGGACGTATTAAAGCCAAATATGATGGAAGAAATGCTTGATAAGTCATTTTTAGCTAAAGATACATATTTTTGCTCTGAATTGCCTTTGAATGTTTGTTGGGTTAGATCGAATTCTCAAAAACTGGCGTGAAAAAAATATAGACAATTCAATAATAGGCCCTCCTCTATTCCAAAAATACTTAACCTAGGTTACATATTTGACTAGAGCGTAGAGAAACTATGTTAAACTCCTTTAATCTAATATGCATTCCATTGCTCCCTTGACACTGATCCTGGTTATGACTTGAAAAGCCTTGTATATCCGTTTCCGTTTATCTATGAATGTCTCTCGGTTGCCCATAATTTAACAAAAATTGTCAACGTACTTTTTGGACAGTCCCAGATATAATTTTGATCACTCAATTAACAATAGACATTTACTTAAACATAATAGTTAAAACAGAAAAATACAACGCAACAACTAAAATCAGCTATATTTATCAGCCTCATGTTAACATATTTTAGCATTATTCGGAGACATAAAGTACAAACTATCTAAAACTGAAACCAATTCACCACTTTCGCAGATCTTCATCGGTAGAGAACACCTTGTCATGGGATTTGATGTGCTGCTCCAGGGTTTTCCGCTTCCGGAACTCCCGTCGACAGAGCTGACACTGATACTGTTCCGTGATGATGCAGGTGTGTTTCTTGAGTCGTTCCACCGACAGAAAGCAAGAATTACAGTCCAGGCAGCGGTAGTTGGGTAGAGGGGCAGGTTCCGGTAGTAATCGAACGTCCGGTTCCCGAACTGACCTACTGCCGGTGGCAGTGGAGCTTTGGAGATTACCATAAGAAGCGCACGTAACGGTTTCGATCAGAGAGGTAGAGGTGGTACCAGCCTTCACGCTCACCACGGTAGCCTTCATTTTGGAATAGGAACTTGCCTCTAACTTTCGTTTGCCTTTTTGAATGTAATTTTGAAGTATTTTCCTATAGTTGGTGGAACTGAGATATCGATTATTAGCAGGCGACGTTTCCGTTGCATTGGCCTCCTCGGTGGCAGTGGGTTGTTCCATAAGCCTCGTAGTTGCGTCAGTCTTTTCTTCGGGTTTCGTTTCCTTTCGCGTCCAGGAAAATTCACTAGGATTCACTGCTAGGGGAACATTCCGCGTCGGTACGATTGCCATTTCCGTCTCGGGAGATACCTCCGTCAGGTACTCCATATCGGAAAATAGCGATGGCATCTCCTTGTCGAAGCATCTTACGGATGAGTAGTAAGTATTGCTGGGAGGACTGTCGTTTCCTGGTACGATGTCCAGAGGATTCAAATGGTCAACGAAATGCGATGCACTAGCTAATCGTACTATGTCCTCGCAAATTCCGCCAAAATCGTCATTGCACTCGATCACGAAAGAATCGTCCGACAGGTAGGTCAAGGAATCGAAGCTGATTCTGTTGCGAAAATTGATTAAAGTTATTTATTGACGAAAGTTATAAACAACGCAGCACTCACCCATCCATATTTTAAATACTAATAAATGCACACTGTTTATGGAAAAAAATAAAAATTATATTTTTAAGGAGAAAACATTTGCACGCTACTTTTGTTTGGATCTTTTGACGTTTAATTCTGATGATCAACATCAATCAGAAAACAAATATTTATCAGGGTTTCTTGAACCGGTTTTACAACATTACCGGTTCAACGAGGGGCATATTCATAGTATTTTGTGTTTAAATGTCCGACACTCCAACTCGTTAATCCAGATCTTCCCGCATAAACGCGAACCATAAATTGACCTTACCTAAAATGGTTATAAATTGTTTATAATCCCTGCTAAACTTTAACTGAAATGGTTATGGAACTTTACATGAACGTTTAATGATAAAGTTTCAACCTTATGTATTATGGTTTTTTGGAAGTGGACCTTACAAATAATGGGTTGTTAAGAACCATTACCGTTCCAAATTCTTGTTTTCTCCATACATTTTCGGAAAGAGAACTATATTAGAACCTTTTAACTTATGGTTTGAGAACTTTAATGGTAATGGTTATGGTAGTCAGTAAGGTCCACGAATGGTTTTGTACCATCGATCAACTTTATGTGGAATATATCGCGAATTGGTTGCCTGTAATTTACTGATTACCAATTCACGATATATTCCACGTAAAGTTGAGCGATAATACAAAACCATTAATGGACCTTACTGACTACCATAACCATTACCATTAATGTTCTCAAATCATAAGTAAAAACGTTCTTATATAGTTCTCTTTCTGAAAATGTATGGAGAAAACTAGAATTTGGAATGGTAATGGTTCTTAACAACCCATTATTTGTAAGGTCTAGTTCCACAAAACCATAATACATAAGGTTGAAACTTTATCATTAAACGTTCATGTAAAGTTCCATAACCATTTCAGTTAAAGTTTAGCAGGGATTATAAACAATTTTTAACCATTTTAGGTAAGGTCAATTTATGGTTCGCGTTTATGCGGGTTGTTACCCTGTACACGAAACGAAAATCAATTAGTTTATTCATGTGTTTCACTAATACATTTTTGCCAAAACATCAGCCTTATACATTCCACAAGACAAACCACATAGGTCCTATAATAATGCATAAAAGGTATGTGTGACCGCTTATACATTTCATTTGACACATGATCTACATTGACTTTTTGCAAGGCGTCTGCTTATTAGTTGACTTATACATTTTATGAATAATCAGCAATAGAAATTTGCCAAAAGGCTTAAGGAGATTTCTATCCGTGAGGATTAAATAGTATAATGAGAAACACACATATATTTGGTATGAATTTCCTTAATTTGCCATAGCAAATAATGTCGAAAAAAAAGCAATACAACGGATTTTGACGCTGAGATTTCGTCGATTGTGTAACAAGGAAGGCTAAAGGCGCATAAAAGCAACCTCATCTAAGACGACACTCATTCATTGTCGTGGTTGTGGTTGGTTCAGCTTAAAAATACACCAGTAGGTTCCTACCGTTCCTAGACGTCGTACAGTGCTACCATAGAGGTAACTCTAAGACCACTGGGTCCCGAAGAAAATCATTATTATTTTTGGCTCACTCAGTACCAGAACAACGGTCCCAAGCAGTCCCAAGCTATTTCACTCACCCCTGCATGTTCTGCATGAATCCACACACCCCTGATGTTATCTGTCAAACTTTCATAGCGAATCAAAACAAACATAGTGTAGTAATAGAATTTCAACTAGAATAGGGTACGTTAATCGTTTGCTTGGGACCAATAGGCTACTAAAGTGGTGAGCCAATTTAAAATCGTCGGTTTCGTATTGATTGTTGGTGCTACTCAGAGAGGCTAAAGAGAAAGAGAAAGAGAATTTTATTTTTGATTCGATTTACGTGCAAAATAGTAATTGATTGCATCGCAATATTTTGCACATTTCTTGGTGCCATTCATTAACCAACGAGGATCAATTAATCAATAGAGTTAGAATATTGTTTTTGGTTCCAAAAACTAGTTGAATTTGAGAAGCACACAAAACATAAAGGTGATTGAATTTCTGTTCGATTGCAATGCTCTCAAATTTATTCTAGTAAGAATAAGAAATCCTCGGAAAATTCTAATGGGAATGTTCGATTGGCTCAGATTTTGACAGTTCATTTGGCTCAAAACATTCTCTCCGCCCATCTCTTCCTCTGAGTATTTCTATGTAGTACTAGAAGTTCGATTATAATGGGGTACGTTAATGGTTTGCTTGGGACCAATAGTGCGCCAATTTAAAATCGTTAGTTTCGTATTGATTGTTGCTGCAGCTCTCCAGCACAAGAAGAATGAAATGTGCTGCACGATTTAAAATGCTCGTTCATGTCTCTTTGGAAATGAAAGTGTTGTCTCCCAATTGCACGTATTTTACTCGCAGAAAATTGAGTAGCAGCCGATCCCTGTTTATCCGTAACAGAAACATATCAAAGTGTGTGTGTTTTTTTTTTAAATTATTAACGATGTCTCGTACCAAAAAATGCACCATTTCCTAATTGAAGCACTTATCACAATGCTCATCACAATGCATATTAAGCGTTTCAAACACTAGTGAAATGACGTAAAAAGAGCGTTTGACGACAACTGAAAATAAAATAAAAATCATCCCTAAACTTTCAAGTCGTCCAAGCCGACGTGCTCAACCAAGGAATGCGCTGAAATTCAGAACATATCCACAGACCGGTAAACCAGAATATCCATTCGCTTCCAGCCCCACCTGGCCGTTTGCTGGTTTGGTCCCAAGCAAATCGATTAACGTACCCCATTCTAGTATAAATTCCAGTACTACGCTATGTTTGTTTTGATTCGCTATGATAGTTTGACAGATAAAATGTGGGGTTCGTGGATTTTCCTATGTTTTGAGGGGTGCACCACTTAGCTTGGGATCGAAGATAGTACCAGATCTGAGCCAAAAAGTTGAGCTCGTTTCTTCGGGACCTTCTAGTCTTAGAGCTATCTCTATGGTTATATTACACAACCGATGGATCGACCTGGTTGCAGCAGTTTGGATGTAATATTCAACAACTTTTTTTTCTGTGTATCTAAGGCTGTGAACCATTTGCCGGGTTAAATTTAACTCGTAGTTAAAAGTGACATTTCAAAAGTTATTTCTTATGTTCGAAAATCCCCGTGCTATCGATCGACCGGTTTTCGAGCCACGGTCGGCAAAATTTAACTTCTTGTCTGTCAGAAATAACCACGCTCGGATAGCAGGGTTAATCCATAGAGGTAACTCTAAGACCACTGGGTCCCGAAGAAAATCATTATTATTTTTGGCTCACTCAGTACCAGAACAACGGTCCCAAGCAGTCCCAAGCTATTTCACTCACCCCTGCATGTTCTGCATGAATCCACACACCCCTGATGTTATCTGTCAAACTTTCATAGCGAATCAAAACAAACATAGTGTAGTAATAGAATTTCAACTAGAATAGGGTACGTTAATCGTTTGCTTGGGACCAATAGGCTACTAAAGTGGTGAGCCAATTTAAAATCGTTAGTTTCGTATTGATTGTTGCTGTAACGTCACCAGGGCATTGTTTTACATACAAATAAACATTGCCCACAGGGCATACCAAAACTTCTTTCAGTGATTTGAGGCTATGTCAGTCGTGCAAGAGTTAATGGTGGTAAGCTTGTAATCGCAATGTGCTATTTTATATGATTGCGTCGAGGATCGCGCATTGGGCACATTTATGAGATTATGAATGCGGAAACACTAATAAAAGTGCGGTTTTTCGTTAAATTGTTGTTGTGTCTTCATCGCACTTATTCCTTGGTGAATGAAGAATAAGTGCGCAGAAGGCGTCAAGACGATACAACGTCTAAGTGCACTTTTATTAGCGTTTCCACTCTTCTAAAGAGTTCAATTTTATTTGCAATTGATAATGTCACAAAACTATGCATAGGAGGCATCACTGCACTGCAAGCCACTTTTTATTGTTGTGTCATAGGATGTATTCTAATGTTTTATGCGTGCAACAATTTACATCGTGATGAAGTTTGATTCTAATGTAACGTTTGGTTCTGTTGTCATTGGATGTATTCTGATGTTTTATGCGTGCAACAAATTACATCGTGATGAAGTTTGATTCTAATGTAACGTTAGGTTCTGTTGTCGTTGGATGTATTCTGATGTCAAATTTTACATCGTCAAGACGTTTGATTCTGATGTAACGTTTGAGGCTAATGTATTTTTATGTACTTGGACGTCACACTGAAGTCTGAATACATTAAGGGTACAGCAATATACGTTAAAATTTAATGTATTGAAGATGTCTGCTGATGTTTCCTACATTACAATTTCTATTCGGGATCCCTGTTTATCCGTAACAGAAACGTATCAAAGTGTTTTTTTTTTTTAATTATTAACGATGTCTCGTACCAAAAAATGCACCATTTCCCAATTGAAGCACTTATCACAATGCTCATCACAATGCATATTAAGCATTTCAAACACTAGTGAAATGACGTAAAAAGAGCGTTCGACGACAACTGAAAATAAAATAAAAATCATCCCTAAACTTTCAAGTCGTCCAAGCCGACGTGCTCAACCAACGAATGCGCTGAAATTCAGAACATATCCACAGACCGGTAAACCAGAATATCCATTCGCTTCCAGCCCCACCTGGCTGTTTGCTGGTTTGGTCCCAAGCAAATCGATTAACGTACCCCATTCTAGTTTAAATTCCAGTACTACGCTATGTTTGTTTTGATTCGCTATGATAGTTTGACAGATAAAATGTGGGGTTCGTGGATTTTCCTATGTTTTGAGGGGTGCACCACTTAGCTTGGGATCGAAGATAGTACCAGATCTGAGCCAAAAAGTTGAGCTCGTTTCTTCGGGACCTTCTAGTCTTAGAGCTATCTCTGGTTATATTACACAACCGATGGATCGACCTGGTTGCAGCAGTTTGGATGTAATATTCAACAACTTTTTTTTTCTGTGTATCTAAGTTGTCTTGTCCCTTGTTTTCTGGACTGTGCAAAAAAATCCCTGTGCAATTGATCATTTTGTCAAGCTTCTGCATTCATGTTCCATCAGATGTCACAGCTGTTGTTTACGGTGACATCTATCGGAAACTAGACACAATCTGTTTTCCTATAGTTGTTCACAGAGGACACTGCAGTGCAAAATATGTCTGGTACCTCTATATATGCATTTAGATTATTATTCGAAGTCCCTCCTTTTTTACACATTCTGCACACAAAATAGCTCACCCCTCACAGAATTTCCCGCCCAATTTTATGTATGGGGCGGGGCATAAAGTATCTTTTGCGCAGAATATGTAAAAAAGGAGGGACTTCAAATGTTAAAGCAAATACATATATAGAGGTACCACACATGTTTTGTAGTGTCAGGTACTCTATTTTGTAATCTGTGAAAGGGAAATCACAAATCGAGTGTCAACAAAATACATGGCATGTTGAGAGATTGAGCTCGTGAGAGAGAATTTCTCTCTCAAATTTGAATTTTTTTGGCTCTCTGGGGACTGGTAGTAAAGCAGGTAAAATTGTATGGGGAAAAATCATTTTTATTTAATTGTAGCTTGCTTAACAATAATTTCCGGGAAAAAACTGAACGACAAAGTCCCTGATTAATTTCTTTAGGTTGTCGTTCACTTTTTTTGACCTGAATATGCACCGAAAGCGAATTATTCCCACTTCTCTCAATTTCTATATGGGGATTTTTACCACTTCCTACCAGCGGAACAGCGCCATCTCTGTGGAAAATGGTCGAACAAAATGATTAATTATGTCTTGCACTTTTTCCACATTTTTTATTGCGTTTTTGACTATTCCACTAACCATTTTGTATGGTTATTTCTCTTAACGACGTGTTCTGGGTATAATCCAAACAATTTGTGGAATAATTCTATCATTTGGGTTATCGTTCGTTTATGGTTTTTTTTTATTAGGGTACCCACATCCATACCAAAGATGAATACTAAGATGAAACTGTGAGAAGAAAAACTTTCTATTTTAGTGTCCTCTTTCACGGTCCCTTTCATCCAATGAATACCCCCCGTATACAAGGTAATTTTGTGGTTTTGCTGCCCCCTCGGTAGAGATGAAATTTCGCGCTCTTTTTTATCAAAACAAACACACCAAAATCAGAGATGTCCCATTTTTTAATTACTCGATTAACAACTAATCGTTTTTTTTTGTTCGCTGTGCTGCTATTTTTCCACCAATGAGAGTGCAGCACATGTTTGAAACGATCGGTGATGATCCTCTGGAGATGTTAATGCTTATATCGGCATGATATAACCGATTACAAATATTTTACTTTTCGGTTCGTTAATCGATTAATCAATTATTCGAATGAAAATCGGCCATCTCTAGATTAATGTGAAACGTCATTTAAAATATATGGACCGTACATAAATAATGATACAACTTGAAAGGGACCGGGACTAATCACAAATTACGTCCCCACGGTAACTGAAATAAACACGAGTGTTCACCGGTTGTCCATACTTCACGTATAAATATTTATTTATTTCATGAAAATCACCAAAAACACGGTTCGAGTAGCCCTGGTTCAAAGAGGCTGAAAGATGTTTGACAGCCAATCGCGTTGCCAACCAAACGCCACAAAAATGCTTCAAAATTAATGTTTGCATCAGTGTGCGTATGTTCGCAGTTGTCGATAGCTCAACACGAACGATACGAACGTCGCGAAGTGACATTTTCATTCATCTCGTTTCGGTGTGCTGCACCACACACACTTTTGGTTGCGCGATTCGGGAAGAGAGAAAAAAAGTTTTATCACCGTGTGAAATTCCGTCGGAAAAGCAGTGAAATCGATCCGGAAATAGTGCGAAAACTTGACCCCAGCAGGTGAGCATCGATTGGTGGTTATTTCGGAGCGTGGGGCGCGTTTTCTACGCTGAAAAAGGGAAAAGTCTGGTGCCGTATCCTGGCTGATTACGGTTTCTTTTCTTGGGGTGGGTGATTGAGGAAAACGAAGAAGAAGAAGCCAAATCTTTGTGGCTGGTGGCTGGCGAAGGCGAGAACCTTTTTCTCATTGCTTTTCGTATTATATATTTTGCAGAACAGCACATACAAAACATGGCTGCCAGTACTAGCGGTGATAAAGCGGCGGATGATTCACTTTACCCGATCGCGGTGCTAATCGATGAGCTCAAGAACGAGGATATTCAGGTGAGTGGTTAGGAATTTGATGGGAGTGAAAATTGGGAAGGAAGTTCCGAGTGCCATGCACGAAAGGTCACGACAGCACAGGTCAAGGTACTTCCGAGACTGTTCTCGCAAACCGCATTCGGGATGCTATTATTTATATTTTCGAAACTGCTGCGTAGGAAGAGGCCGCGTCTGTCGATAGCACTTTCTTGCTCACAATAGCTCTTGATTGATTTGAAGTTAATTGCCTCGTAGCACGCAATCCTTTATCTGTTTATATGTTGATCAAAATTGCTGTAAATTTGCCCCATATAAAAGCGAAGTATATAAATATCGTCTTTTTTCTCCTCCCCAGCTCCGCCTCAACTCGATCAAGAAGCTTTCGACCATTGCCCTGGCTCTGGGTGAGGAACGAACCCGCACTGAACTGATCCCGTTCCTGACGGAAACCATCTACGATGAGGATGAAGTGCTGCTGGCGCTTGCCGAACAATTGGGCAACTTTACCGCCCTGGTCGGAGGGCCTGACTTTGCAATGTATCTGATTCCGCCGCTAGAATCGTTGGCCACCGTCGAAGAGACGGTCGTACGCGACAAAGCCGTCGAATCGCTGCGGATCGTGGCAGCCCAGCACAGTGCTCAGGATTTGGAAGTGCATGTCGTCCCAACGCTGCAGCGTTTGGTGTCCGGTGATTGGTTCACATCCCGCACTTCGGCCTGCGGATTGTTCTCCGTTTGCTATCCAAGGGTTTCGGCCGCGGTTAAGGCAGAGCTGAGGAACAACTTCCGACAGCTGTGTCAGGATGAAACTCCGATGGTGCGGCGTGCTGCCGCCGGCAAGCTTGGTGAATTTGCCAAGGTTGTGGAAGTTGAATATCTCAAGTCGGATTTGATTCCGATGTTCGTACAGATGGCACAGGATGATCAGGATTCGGTTCGATTGTTGGCCGTTGATGCTTGCGTCAGTATTGCCCAGTTGCTGCAGCAGGATGACGTGGAACATGTAAGTCGAGTTACAGTTTCTGGAAAGGTATTTTAATGATTCACTATTTAAATTCATATTGCAGAGCGTCATGCCCACTCTGCGTCAATGTGTCAATGATTCCTCGTGGCGTGTACGTTACATGGTTGCCGAGAAGTTCACCGACCTGCAGAAGGCAGTTGGTCCGGAAATCACCAAAACTGATCTAGTACCGGCTTTCCAGTATCTGCTGAAGGACACCGAAGCTGAAGTTCGTGCCTCGGCCGCAACCAAGGTGACCGAGTTCTGTTCCAATCTGGAAAAGAGCAGCCAAGAACAGATCATCATGACTTCGATTCTGCCCTACGTCAAGGAACTGGTGGCCGATCCGAATCAGCACGTCAAATCGGCACTCGCCTCGGTTATCATGGGTCTCAGTCCTATTCTGGGTCGTAATAACACCATTGAGCATTTGCTGCAGCTATTCCTAATCCAGCTTAAGGACGAATGGCCAGAAGTTCGTTTGAACATCATTTCCACCCTGGATTGCATCAACGACGTCATTGGAATTCAACAGCTGTCCCAATCTCTGCTGCCGGCCATCGTTGAGTTGGCTGAGGATACCAAATGGCGCGTCCGGTTGGCGATCATCGAATACATGCCTCTGTTGGCCGGCCAACTTGGACAGGAATATTTCAATCAGAAACTGCGTGATCTCTGCTTCACCTGGTTGAATGACCACGTGTACGCCATCCGCGAGGCGGCCACCCTAAACATGAAGAAGATTGTACAGACCTTTGGAACGCAGTGGGCTGAAACCAACATCATCAATCAAATTTTGGTCATGTATAAGAACAGCAACTACTTGCACAGTAAGTGGCATTTACATAATCTCTCGCTCTTTCTCCTACCTTCAATATCTCTAATATTCCGCTCCGCAGGAATGACGTGTCTGTTCTGCATCAACGCCCTGGTCGACGTCGTCGGAGCCGATATCATCAAGCGGCTGTTCCTGCCTACGATCAAGGTCCTGTCGACGGATCCGGTTGCGAATGTGCGCTTCAACGTCGCCAAAACGCTGCAGAAGCTATCCCCATTCCTGGACCAGGCCGCAATTGACGAACACGTCAAGCCAATCCTAGAAAAGCTGAACACGGACACGGATGTCGATGTCAAGTATTTCGCCTCAGAGGCAATGGTTGGAATTGCTGGTAAGTGCTAAATTATTTGTTGTCACTTTGGATCTTAGTAACTCACATAAACTTTTCTCTTTCCCCCTTTGTCCATCAACAGCCGCCTAAATTGTATCCAGGAAATTTTGTATGCATTGTTAAGTAAGTTAGAAGGAAATAAATTCAATACTATCTAGCGACATACAACTACTTATCCGATTAGAAAGCACGCGTCAATCTTGTTTATTTCCTTCTTTAGATCCTTCAGCAAAAGCTAAAGTAAACGACAGCTTAACACAGAGAAAGCTGGAAATTCTGATTAGGAAACGACAAATACAAAACTCTCAAAGGAAAAAAAAACTTAACTGTTCGATTGACACTACTTGGACCGGTTATTTTATACTCAACAAATTCAAAGTCAAAATCGCAGGAAAAAGGGTTGTTTGAGATAGGGCTTCTTCTGCTAGGCAGCCATTTAGCATTATTAACCGGAGGGTTGGACGGAAAGCCGGCCGACGCAACCCGAACAAGAATAAGAGAGAAACGGACGCATTTTTTGGAATCATCATTAAGTTACTACAAGGTTACATCTTTTTTTCATTTCTCCTTTTTCGAGACGAAAGTTAAAAACCCAATTCACACACATTGATAATGGTAATCTGCTAATGAAAAACAAAACAAAAAGGAAAATAATATGACACGACCGAAAGTATATCCAGCTACATTAACTTAGTTTAAGTTTACAATTTAACGGTGAACACACTTATCATGTAAGAAAGATAATTTAACAAACAATAAAGTCCAACAGAGGAATCAAGGTATGTGTTCGTTTTTGATTCGAATGTCGCTCAAATTAAAGACGATAACCTGAGATCATCGTTTAATGATTTTTTTTAATGAAATATCGATTTTACTGGAGTTGTTTGGTCGGGTTAAAGTAACAACAAGCCGTTAGAAACATAATTTCAAGCTATTTTACTTAGGTATATATAGCACTTTATTTGACCATTTTGAAGCCATTTCTCTACTTTTAATTAGGGTGCCCTAGAAAAATTAATTTTTTTTAAACTTATTTGTTTCGAAAAAGTAGTCTTTTTTTCCTTGATTTGTTTTCCGTCGATTTTGTGTTTTCCGTGCTGAGCATCAATGCTACCGACGCCAGAGAGGCAGCTGCCAAACCTGGACCCTACCTATCGACCCATCAACTCATGAACCGAGGACCAACGGGCTTACACACTTAAAAATTTTCGCCGAAATTCCAACAGCCGAGTAATTCTGCAATTTATTTTGCTGAGATTCAGTAAAACAATTGCCGAGACTCAGCTAACAAATAATATTTAGCTGAGATATCAGCTAACAAACATATTTTGCAGAGATATCAGCAAAAGTAAATGCCGAGGTAATCGGCTGTTGGAGATTTTACCGAGCTAGATTAAGTGTGTACTTCCCTTCCAAAGGAAGGCGTGATCAGAGGTGTTATCAAAACTGAACCTACCCAAAAATGGGTAAACTGTGTTGGGAGTGACTAGTTGACAAATGAACAACGTCGATCAGATTCACGTCAATGTTGTTCATTTGACCGATCTGGCTGAATTGTACCCAAATTTGGGTAGTTTTGAAATAGCGTGTAAGCCACTACATATCACCCTGTATTAAGGCTGGCGCACAACGTATTCCGCATTTCCCACCAAACTGGACAAATAAGCGCGTTTTCACTTTTTAAAAAGTGTGTCAAATCCAGGGCTGTTACAAGAGGCGCGAATTTCGCGGATTTGTCGGGAATTTGAACTTTCAATCGCGGAAACACTAAATGATGTCGCAAAAATTGCGAAGGAACTGATGTGCTGTCACAAAAAAATGTGGAATGCATTGTAACCTTTCCGTCCCGGATTATTTTGCTGTCATCAATTTTGTTGTTCATTTGACTCTCCATTTTTACCGGTTCAAACCAAACACCCTGTGAATAATCGAAAAATGATCTCAATTCCATAAGTCACACCGTATTTACACGGAAATTCTCTGAGGTCTGTCCAATGTGAGACATTTTCCTTTTTTTCTAATATTAACATAGCATTTTTCGTTGTCAAATCAGAAACGAATCGTATATTAGCGAGTAATTGCCATGTATACCGGATATTCTAGGTTCTCCAAATCGTCCTGGAGCTCAGTTGATTTGTTCTACTATATCAACCAAGACTGAAATAATGTCTGTAGTATCGAAATATGTCCAAACAGATTCAAAGTGTCTATGTGGATTGTACCCGACCTATACGACCTACGTATACAAGATGTTATAGGTTCTGAAATCATTCTGTAGATCAGGTTAATTTTCTACTAGATCACCCAAGACTAATTCAATATCTGTAGTATCGAAATATGCCCAAACAAATTTGGCAGTGTCTATGTGGATCATGCCAAATGTTTTAGGATTTCCAAATAGATATTCGATACTACAGATATTATCCTAGTCTTTGTTGATCTAGTAAAACAAATCATCTGAACTGCAGGACGATTTGGAGAACCTAGATCATCTAGTATACGTGGAAATAATTAATGTTTAATTATTAAACATTACCCATATAGACACTATGAATCTGGTGGACATATTTAGGACACAAAATTCATCTCTGGTTAATTTTCAAGAAAATTTGCATTTCAATGCATTCAAAAATTTTTTTTAATAATATTTCATCAAATCTAGGCCGGTATTATTAAATAGAATCTCATAATGTAAGGGTGTTTTATTATTTTCACTATTACTCAGAATTTATACTATACATAAATAACTAAAGATGATACAATGTTATTCTTTTTTTTTAATTCAAAGGTTACAAACGATACTCCTTTAGCTCAGTCGGTAAAGGCGCAGGTACAAAGCAAGTCCATGCTGGAGGCAACTGAGTTCTATTCCCGTCCGGTCTATTAATTTTTCGGGTTGGAAAATTTCTCTACTTCCTTGGGCATAGGATGGTACAGGCATAGAAAGCTCTCAATTAAAATATTAAAGTACTTCAAAGAACACTAAGGCAAAAATCTAATATGCTATAAGCAATTAGCTTGAAATGCCATGTAGTAGTATACAAATGCTATTTTTAGACAATGAAAACAGTTTTTTTTTTTGTCGCGGATTACTATTTGAAGTCGCGGATTTCTTTGAGAAATCGCGGATTTTTTTCAAATTTAGAAAATCTTGTAACAGCCCTGAAATTGTGTTGTTGTATTCGGTGCACTTATATATTCCTTATGGAGCAAGAAATAAGTGCTCCGAAGACAACAAAACGATATGACGTAAACGTGCACTTTTGGAGCAGTCCAGTTTTAGTTGCAACCAACAATATAAGTTTCCGGGTTTTATGCATGGGCTAACTGTCAAAAAACCTGATAACTTATCCATTCAGGGGAAACATGTCAGAATGGTATAACTCGAAACGCAAACAATGACTTTGAACGTCGATTTCTCTTGAATGACCACACACCCACGGAATCTGACTGCACTAGCTCATAGAATATTTCTCTGTCAGATGATTTAGTTATAGCGAATTCGATTCTATAACATTCCCCAGAATGCACCATTCTGTTAAACCTTATCGAAAAATTAACCACTTTATTCGAGCACTTAAAATGACGTTTACTACCACTCGAACTTTGAAATAAAACATTATTTTGAGATTTTTTCTTCTAGAACCTCGAGAGAAGTAGCCAACATTTGTGCGTTTAATAAAAAAATATAAATTATTTGGTCCAGTTTTGTGAAATCGCTGGTAGAAAGTCACGACAAAACTGCTTGACAAAGTGGTCAATTCTTTTCTTCTTCTTTCCTTTATTTAACGTCGGTCTCTGTTTCGCAATCTAGTGCCAATCACCGACGGACATCGAAATTTCACACGTCATCATCATGTGCCTCACACTTAAATTTGCGCTTATTGTGAAACACATCCATTTCATGTGTGAATCTTATGCTTTGAACCATGCCTCAAAACTATTGGTTCGAATTGTGACGCACTTGGATTCTATGTGCCTCACATGATTTTTTTTTTTTTTTTTATAATCCATTTATTTGTCAAGGCTCAAATGCGTTAGCTTTGCGGAGCCGAATATTTTTACATAATTGTGTTTGAATATCATTTTCTTACAACTAATGTTAGTAGAACGGGGGCCGATTACTCGCGGTTTACTCGAGATTAGGGATTACATTTATTTATCATTTGGAGGGAGGACAAGGGAAAGCATTTTGAACTAATTTAAAACTTAAACGTAAAGGATGACTAAAACACAAAACACTAAACACATAAATCAACAGCTTTAAGAAAGTCGTAAATAAGCTTCATAAAGTCGATATCACGGCAAGCCAAGACGTCTCTAATTGGCTTAAAGGGTTGTTTTCCTCGGACCCTAAGGGAATCACACAGAACGGATCTCGCCTCATGATGCAAGGAGCAGGACCAAACAACATGCTCGATGTCGTGATAACCGTTTCCACAGGTGCACAAGTTGCTGTCGGCAAGCGTAATACGGAAGAGGTGGGCGTTTAACGAACAGTGATTGGACATGAGCCTGGACATTACACGAATAAAATCACGACTCATATCCAACCCTTTGAACCAGGGTTTGATCGACACCTGTGGGACAATAGAATGTAGCCATCTTCCCAGATCACCATCATTCCACTTTTGTTGCCAGTTGGCGAGGACTTGCTGACGAGAAATCGTGAAAAATTCGTGGTAGGCGATTTGTCGCTCGTAAATATCGCCTTCCATAGCGCCCACCTTGGCCAGCGAGTCCGCTTTCTCATTGCCCGGGATAGAGCAATGAGAAGGGACCCATACCAAGGTGATGACATGTGAGCTGTTTGATAAAGCACTCAATGACGATCGTATTTCCTGGAGGAAATACGCCGAGTGCTTCATCGGCCTCATTGAACGCATAGCCTCCAGGGAGCTTAGGCTATCCGTAAAAATGAAATAATGGTCAGGTGGAAGTGAGGCAATACGCTCTAACGTGTACGATATAGCTGCTAGTTCAGCAACGTATACCGAACACGGCTTTTGAAGCTTGTATGAGGCGCTATGAAGATCGTGGAATACTCCAAAACCAGTGGACGCATTTATCACCGACCCATCTGTGAAAAATCTCTTCTCGGTGGGGACGTGGCGGTATTTGTTCGCAAAAATAGTTGGGACAATCAGGGCACGGTGAGGCTCTGGAATTCCTTGAATCTCCTGCCTCATTGTGAGATCGAATCTCACGGAAGAACCACTGAAATGATGGGAGACAGCGCGATTGGGGTTGAACGAGGAGGGGCCGATGTCCAGAGTCATGTACTCGTAGTACAAGCTCATGAATCGTGTTTGAGGATTCCGCTCTAGCAGCTTCTCAAAGTTTTCGATCACCAGCGGGTTCATGACTTCACAGCGGATGAGGAACCGGAACGATAAATCCGCAAAACGATTTGTTAAGGGGAGGACGCCCGCAAGAACTTCAAGACTCATGGTATGCGTCGATTGCATACAACCTAGCGCGATTCGAATGCAACGATATTGAATCCTTTGGAGCTTCAATATGTGCGTCCCCGCCGCCGATTGAAAGCAAAAGCTACCGTACTCCAAAATCGAGAGAATGGTGGTCTTGTAGAGTCTTATCAGATCTTCCGGATGGGCTCCCCATGAAGTGCCGGTAATGGAACGAAGGAAATTGATTCGCTGTTGGCATCTCTGCCTCAGATACGCTATGTGTTTTCCCCAAGTGCACTTGGAATCGAACCAGACACCTAAATACTTAAACGACATGCTGTGAGTGATTGTTCTACCCATAAGTTGA